TTTAGTAGAGACGGGGTTTCACCATGTTGACCAGGATGGTCTCGATCTCTTGACCTCGTGATCCACCCGCCTCGGCCTCCCAAAGTGCTGGGATTACAGGCTTGAGCCACCGCGCCCGGCCTCACTACTTTATTTTAAAGGCAGGATACCTTAGTTCAGCCCACAGACCACCCCTGTCATAAAACTGTGCCATAATGAAAGATGTTAGCAATTTTCTAATGTCTTAGCATCCAAACATTGTCTCCCAGACTGCCTCTTGCCACTTAATAGCCATGGCTCAAAACTCTTTTTCTGACAGTGTACCTTTGTGGCTCTGAAAATGGGATTTTTATAATTTCACATCCTTATGTTCTCTATAGTACTGGCACCCAGGCCTTGTCCAATACCATCCTTGATAAATGTAGCGAGCATTATGAAAGGAACCATCTGTCTGGATGCTTTCAGTATCAAACCAACTACAGAGTCTCACATGGATAAAATCTTTTGTGAGCAGGATTCCCAGGTGATAAGGGTGAAATGCAGTAGTGAAAACCAGCCAGAGGGTGACACAGTGAAAACACATCCCACCACCACAAGAACTGAAATGCTTTTTAAAGCATTATTGTAAGATGGGTTTAGCTGTTAAAGATGTGTGTTCTGCCATGGTATGTATTATAATAACCGAGTTATACTCACAGGTCTGATGTGGACTCTGCTGAGGAGAGATTGCTTCTTCTAGATGGGGTATGTCAAGAGAGGAGAGTGTATATTTGATAGTATTGACTTCACATTGAATTCTCCTTTGTGGACAAGAATTCCCAAAACTCAGAACACAATGTAGGCAGGGGGTGGACATAGTGTATTAGACCATTTTCATGCTGCTAATAAAGGCATACCCAAGACCTGGGTAATTTTTAATGAAAAAGGTTTAATGGATTCACAGTTCCACATGGCTGGGGAGGCCTCACAATCATGGCAGAAGGTGAAAGGCACATCTTACATGGTGGCAGGCAAAGAGAAAATGAGAGCCAAGCAAAAGGGGAAACCCCTTATAAAATAATCAGATTTTGTGAGACTTATTAACTACCACGAGAACAGTATGGGGAAAACCACACCCATGATTCACTTATCTCCTAACAGTTCCCTCCTGCAACATATGGAAATTATGGGAGCTACAATTCAAGATGAGATTTGGGTAGGGACACAGCCAAACCATATCACATAGTTTCTTAGACATTGTTTCATATTCTTGTTGGAGGAAACTGCAGTCCAAAGCAATTTTGTACAAAACTAAATTTAACATAAAAACTTCCTGTGTATAAAATGAATAAACAGCAGCAAAGTACATATAAAGGTATATTCTCTCAGACCTGCACTAATACATAGCCATAAACTAAACTAAAATAAAATTTTAAAATTCATTCCTCAATCTCCATCCATATTTCAAGTATTGAGTAATCACATATGTCTAGTGGCTACCATATTAGATAGTCAGAGATAGAACATTTCCAGGATCACAGAACATTCCATTGGGCAGCCCTAGTTAGAGCAAGCATGGCTTGTTTTATAATTTTCAGAATAATTCTGGTGAAAAGCTGTTTTATATTATGCTATACTCAACAAAGAAAAAGGATATTTAC